GATGGCGTGGATGGGTTGGGAAAACGTGCGTGCCTCACCATCGGCACGGACTTTCGTGTGTGGAAAGTCGCGCGGTTCGAGCTTGGCTCTTGGCCAAGAGGCTTGTCGTCCCCGGCGTCAATTATCGATGCCGAGTGATCTTCCATGTTGAATGCGTTGTTGAACACCAACAAATAATTCGCTGCCTAGTCCCGCTTCCCTGTGGTTTGCAACAGGAGGATGTTTTCATCGAACCCGCCGACATCGTAAATGTCGGACTGAAAGTAAAAGCTTACATATGCAGCGCTGGCCGTGCCATGTCGTCCTAAAGCGACTAGGCAAGAATGTATGAGGAGCGTGGTCAGTCGTTTGCCAGGATGTGTTTGAAGCTTCATAACGAAAACCCTTAACACATTTTTATAACACATTTTTATGACAAGAACATACTGTACCGTCATCCTACAGGGGAATGTTTTTGCATTTGCTTTTGAGCGAACTAACGTTACTGAAGACGCCCACTGGGCTCACTTAGCTTTCTGTCGCCGCTGCCGCAGGGTCGTTCTCCTTCTCCGTGCTGTCTGGGAAGGTGATGTTCCGTGACCTGGCTTACATCACGGCCGACGGCACGCTGCGCGTGCAGGACGGCTTCGTCATCTTCCGCTGGTGGCGGGTGTACGTGCCGAAGGCCGTGTCGGAAGGTCAGTCTGCCGCTGGCTGCCCCGCGTCTGCGCACCCGTCGACGCCCTGCCGTCGAGCGTGTGGGGCGGCACCGGCACTGCCGCCGCGTCGGCCGACAGGGGTGGGAGACAGTGCGGTCGCGTCTTTCACGGTGACTGTCCTGGGAGATGGGAACGATAGGGCACAGGTGGCATAGCGGCCGGTCAGGGGCATGCAGTTTGGTGCCTTATCAGTGGCAATAACAGTCGAGACTGAGCACGCAGCTGCCATTGTGGCTGGCAGGCTTTTATCAGCCTGGGTATTGCACTTTGGGGCTGATGATTGGCGATTCTCACAACGCACGGAGGGCGTATATGAAGGTTTCCATAGCGTATGAGGAAACGTCTTGTGTTCTGCTTTCTTCCTAGTCTGTTTCTGCGTGCGGGGGCACCTACTCTGTGCTTGGGAATGGCAAGGGGAACGCGCCGCTCCTCGTTAGGCACCGCAGTCTAAACCGGCTCCTGCAGTGCGTTTTTGCAACACTGCCGTCGTCAACCCTGCCGCCGCCAACCGTGCGCGCGTCAGCCTCGCAGACAACTGGCCGCACAGCGTCCCCAGCCGTGCGCCGCGCCGTTGCAGACATGTCCAGCCTGGACACGCGGCTGCTTGTGGTGCTGAACGGCCTCGAGGTGCACGTCTACAACCGCACCAGCACGTACGCCCGGCTGGAGCGGCTGTTCGGCCTGGACGAGCTGCTGCTCGGCGCGGACGAGGACGAGCGCGAGCCGGGCGAGCCAGCCGCCGGAGAAGGGCGCCGCCGCCGACCGCTACAGCGGCTGGCGCGACCTGGTGCCCGTTATCAAGGCGGACATATCGACGGTGAGGCGCCGCCGCCGTCGGCAGGGTGCTGGGCGGCGCCGCCCACCACCGCGCTCCCGGACGTGTTGAGCGCAGCGGAGCTGGTTTGGTGTGTTGGTGGTATTTGCGTTTCCGTTGGTTGTATGGTTGTGACTTATTGGTCCCACGGCCTGAAGTGCCGAGCTCTGGAAGCATTGCCTTACGCTTCGCCTACCCTGTATCGTGCAGTTGAGCGCGTTACATGATAAGCATGCGTTGTGGCGCTTCTCAGTTTGTGCGCGTCTGCCGCGTATGCATTCATGAATTAGCTCGCAACCTTTCGTGAAGCGTTTTGCACATCTGTCATAGCCTGGGGTGTCCAATGACCTGTGGGAGCACCCACCTTTCGATTTCGTCAGTGTGCGGGAACAGATCCGGTGCGTTGAACCACCGGATCTGTTCCACCCGCCACGGCAGGCGTTGCCAGCCGCCGGTCGGCTGGGGCCACCGGTTCCCAGCGTCGGAGCCGCGCTGCGCCTGTGGTGTCCATGCCGCGCTCGCGCTCCAACTCCGGATTTTGTCTGTGGTCAGCTGTATATTCAAGGCTGACCGGTGACCAGGAATGGGCGTGGAATACTGAAACAGCATGCCCTGGATGTTTCCGCAGTCTGGGACTGCCTGACTGACGCCAGCGCGGACCGCCTGTTGCAGGGCCGGATCGTGTTCGGCAACCGGCTGGTGCCCACCACGCTGATCGTCTCCGTGGAGGAGGCCAAGTGCGTCTACTCCACCAAGCCGTCCGCTTCGCAGCTCGACCTCTTCATGCACTTCGTCAAGATGACCGCCGAGAACTTTAAGGTGCGAGGCGGGACTCGAACCGCCGGAACGCGCGCTGCTCGAGCTCGGCGGCGCCGTCCCTGTGCAGCGCCTGCGACGTTGCTTAGGCAGGGGCCAGGTGTCAGCTGATCACAGCGTTGGCGGCTCGGTGTAATGCTAACCGTGGATGACGTGTCTCGGGCAGGCTAAGTGTTTTGCCGTCATTTATTGATTTCGCAGGCAATGTTTTGGGTGCTGTGTCAAAGCCGAACCCATGTGTCATGCAGCAGCACAACGGCGCTGCATGGAATGGCTTACACATGGGCTGCATGGGAGCCCATGTGGAAGCCATTTGTTTATGCATGTGCAGACTGAGACAGGACCACAGTTGCGTTTCAGGCACACAACTGGAAGGTCCTTTTTGTGTAAGTACCACACAAAGGCACGAAGGCACGGCTGGGCTGGAGGCCCGCTCCTTCAGAGAGCGTCTGAAATCTGATTAATCACCACAGCCATGCCTACTCTCTCAGACACACCACCCGACCAGCCACAAGCGCACCCCTGCCGCCGCACCCCACGGCCCCTGACCTGACCCCGCCCGCATGTCAGGTCATCATGGCGCCGTCGCGGAACTACACGGGTCGCCGGGACGACCCGCCGCGCTACATGGGCGAGGGCTTCGTGGTGCTGCAGTCGAACGCCGTCAACATCTACGGCTACGTGGACGAGCCGGGCTGGGTGCCCGACGCGCCCGAGACCGAGCGGCTGGCCAACGGTGACCTGTGCCAGTCGCCGCCGCCCGTCTGCGGCATCGAGGTCAAGGTCAGACCCGGCGGCCTGGTGGGGCTGAGCGGCGCCAGGCGGTGCCGACCGCTAGACTGGTGGGGAAACGAGCTTTCTTGCTGTAGGGCTAGCGATGTGCTGAACCGGAAATGGGTAGCGAATCCACTGGGCTCAAAGCAGCACGAGCAAACTCTCTGGGACGGACGAAGGAGGCAGGTTTGAAGGTGTCGAGCTGGTAACCTGTGTGAGGCGTGACTGGGGCGAGGACAGTTTGGTGACAATAAGGGCTCGGTGTGTCAGTGATGCCAAGATGTGGTGTGGCATGTGGTGTGGCGTGTGTCTGCCCGATGATATTGTGATGCGGCGTGCCCAAGACTGGCGACCAGCCGTGAAATGCCCGACTGATCTGATGAGGATTGCTCTCTTGAGCGGAGCGTCAGCTGCTTGAAGTGGAGGGACGTTTGCGTGTCAGATGTCTAAGCTGGGATTTACCCGTGCTGGTTCGCGAAAGTAATCCCTTCGAAATATAACCTGCGCCGCGAAAATCCTCTTGAGGTTATTCGACGTGCCACACGTTACGAGGGCAAGCACCAGCCCCACATCCATACAGTCCAGCACGACAGCTCCACGGCGCCGCCCCGCTCCCCTCCCTGACCCCCGCCCCCTCCCCCAACTGCCACAGTGCGGCAAGGGAACGGACTTCAGCTACGGGCCGTGGGCGGACCGGCAGCGGGACTCGCTCTTCAGGTTCTTCTTCCCGACGTCGTTCGAGCGGCAGCGGCCGACGGAGCCGCCGCGGCCCGGCGACCGCCGCGCCCACCAGGCGCTGGACGTCCGCGTCAGCACGCTGGCCGATGCCACCATGGACATCCTCTTCACCAAGAACCAGGTGCGTCCGCCCGAGGGTCGCTGGGGGGGGGGGGGGGGGGGGGGGGGAGATGGTGGGGAGTATCGGGAAAGGCAGCTGACTTCTTGGAACTAATTTTTTGCTTTATCCAGTGTGTGGTGTGTTAATGGGGTATCTGTATTTTACGTTGGCAGTTCACATGGAAGTGCTGACAGCAGGCACTGATGACAACCAACCCCATCGTGTTGTTCATTTATGTCTGTAAACAGCCTCTAGTGTGCGTGCGACGCGCTGTTACGTGAAATCTACATATGACCTGACCTGACCTGACCTGTGTTGTGACCTGACTTGACCTGACCTACCCACTGCCGTTCCTGCAGGAGACAAGCGCCATCCACATGAACCTGGGGCCGGGCTCCTACATGGAGATCACCGTGCCGTGGGTGGTGGGCGAGAACGGCTGTCACAACCGCGTCATTGGCCAGCTGCTGCACCTGGACGCCACCACCAGTCTCACGGTCAGCACTGCAGCCTCGCCCGGCCGCCGACAGAAGGCACTGAATGCCGGTCACCAGCTTGTGCTCCTGGGAATGACAGTTATTGTCTGTTTTTTTTTTCATTTAGTGTGTTTTCTATGCTTGAGGACAATGCTGAGATATTTCCTGTTCTGGATACCATCAGTATTTGTCTATGTGGAATCGCTGTTAGTGCCCATCCCCATATGCTGACTGTTATTTGGCAGGGTGCATCCATATGCGCTGACTGCTGGTCCTGTGCTATCATTTCCAGTATCGAAACCTCCTCGAGTGCGAAAGTCTGGAGTTCAGCATCGCGATGCACTACCCCATCTACTGGAACGAGCCGTCCGACTGGACCTTCTCGCTGACGTTCTGCAAGGCCACAGCGTACTTTGTGTATGCTCACAAGTACTTCTTGAATGGTGAGCGACGCCTGAAGGATCAAAATCCCAAGCTCTGCGTGGGATTTTGCGCTGTGGACGTGTTTTACAGTGCGAAGTTAACGTGCATATTGTTACGTGAGATATTGTGTGGGCAAGCTTATACTTTTAATGGTATGATTTGTTTTTTCCTAAACTTCCTAAAGCTCTTCTTGATCATTAAGTCTCCAGTTTAGCTGTATACAAGTTATGAGACGACTGCCGAGGTTACAGTATGGCCACACCACACTGTCAAGGGTCTAGTGTGGCCACAACAGGTCAAGTTCATTTTGACCTCCCGGCCGGCATGGTTCCATGAAGAGGGTCGTGGCAGGGCTGTTCTCGGCCTTTGCCCTTTAACATGTTAAGTGCTGGTCGTGCTGGGTGCTGACCATCTCTCGGGCTCATCAGCTCACCCTTCATATCCGACCTGACCTCCCCTCCCCCCTCCCCCCATCCGCTCATCCGTCATATTCAGCCGGACCCGCGCCCCTCCCCCGCTCATCAGCTCACCCGTGATATCCGACCGTGACCCGCGCCCCTCCACCGCTCATCAGCTCACCCGTGATATCCGACCGTGACCCGTGACCCCCCCCACACTCTCTTCTCCCCAGACCTGCTGGACGACTGGGGCAGCTCGGAGCCGCCCGACCTGCTGCGCTTCGTGCCGTGTACCTGGTGCTTCCAACTGCACTTTAAGCAGTTCGAGCTGATCACGCTCACCAACGCCGGCAATTGGATCGACTGCTCGTCGCAGTCGCCGGAGAACGGTGCGGGTGGCAGAGGCGGAGCGTCGAACGCGGAGGTGGCCGCTAACTGGCCCCGCGCCCCTGTCGACCAGGCCCTGCTCTGGCGTCAGACCGCCGCGCTGAGCCCAAAAGCTCTGCGGATAGATGTGTGGACGCTCTTAAGTGTATTTATCGTGGGATGCATTGCATTTGGATGCAAGTACGAGTTGTGGCAGTCATGCCTGTTAAAGCGTTCCCGAAAGACGTGGAAAAGCTGTATGCACTGTTGGTTGTCTGGTGATTTGAGCGTGAGCGAAACATTCATAGCCGTGATATATCGTTGTCATGCCCGTCCACTACAGTGCATGCATCATGTTATTCTGCTGCGCTTGTCAGCGCACCTGGCCGTCTGCGGGGACGTCCTGGACCTGTCGTTCGACCTGCCGTTCACGGACTTCCTGCCGGAGACGGTGCCGTTCCTGTTCAAAATCGAGGTCAGTGACGGGTGCGTCTGCCGCCGCAGGGCACCGACGCCTGAGCGACCCTGTCGCACGTGGAGGTGGCGCACCGGCCTTATGGGCGTGATCAAAGGACACTGCGGGGAACGAACGTTATCTTTTGGAATGTTTACATGTGAAGTGTCTTTGATCACCGCTTACCTTGTCATGAGGTTTACACTGTTCGCTTCCCCAGGCCGAGTGTGTAGAGCTGACCACACATCTCACCCGTCACCTGGTGTGACGGATCAGCACCCCCTCCCCCGCAGGCTGAGTGTGTATGGCTGATTAAACACCTCGCCCGTCACCCGGTGTGGCTGATCCTCGCCTCCACGTGCAGAGGTTGTAGTGCTGACCACGCACACCACCCGTCACCCGGTGTGACTGATCCTCACCTCCGCAGGCCGAATGTCTGGAGCTGGCCATGTTCGTGCCGGAGGTGCGCGCCAGTCGAGCGGTGCTGCTCTCACTGGCTGCCAGCGCGCTGGTAGCGGGTAGGGACGGTGTCGCCTACACCCCGGGCGCCGCCGCCGCCGCCCCCGGCGCCCCTGCCGCCGACGCCGGCGCCGGCACGCCCAGCTCGGTACCCGCCTCCGATGGCGCTGAGCCACCGGCGCCGCGGCCGCCTCTCAACTGGCGCAATCTCTGCAAGATCAGGTAAGGCGGCAGCGGCGGACCGGACGGCGGCGCGAGCGTGGATGTGTCTGGGATGCGACCCGCTTACTGTCAAATGTGGTTAATGGCGACATTGCCCGACCATGTGAACAGCGCTAGATGTACTCGACCGCCTGCTGGTGTGTGGAGCAGGCTGGGGTCGACCGACAGACATTATGACGGAAACTGGCGGGGACGATGGAAACTGGCGGATACGCTGTTGTAGAGTGTCTTTGAAATACATATGCAAAATGGCATTTCAGATTTGTCATGCTTTCGGACTGCACCTTCTGGCAAGCATTATTCACGGCTGCCTACAATGCATGCACACAACTGTCACGTGTCAACGCATTGGGCGGGGAAATGCGTGACGGCGCTGTGTTGACCCCTGTGCACCGCTCCCGCGACTGCCGTGCTTCTGACTGTCTGTCCCCCACAGTGACGGCTGGGTGGACTGCTGGCGCGTGCCGGTACTCTCCATGCAGATCGGCTACCTGTACCACCCAGTGCCGCCGTTCGGACCCTCGCCGCAGGCCAACATACCGACGCCGGACAAGGAGGCCATCCTGCTGTCGCCGCTGCGCGCCCCCAAGCGGAAACTCTCGCCGCTAGATGTCGGCACGGTACGCGACGGCAGGATGGACGGCGGCTGGCTCTAGTGACGCACGCCCTGTGCTCGGGGGGGGGGGGGGGGGGAGCAGGGACGCCTCGAGGCGGTGTATGACACGCGTGTCAATTGTCGTGCCCTTTCGGTAATTGTGTGGTGGTGCGAAAGTTGCACGTGTTTCTGCCAGTCCCAGGCGCCGGGAGATAGTGATGCAGCAGCACGTGCCGTGTCCGTCTTACGGCGCTTTCATGTGGAGGATAAAGTGGTATCACGTTGCCTTGTGGGTTGTGCCGTGTTGTTGTCGGCACATTCTGGGTCACGCAACGTCACACAGCTCATTGCCCTTTTAATATCATCACGTATATGGCAAGACTCGGGTAAAGGTTGCAGGGCTTTAGCAAAAAGTTGTCCACACGCTGGCCTTGATTTCATCGTGTTCTCGTGGAACACTTACGGAAGCTTTTGGGTAAGCCATATCGTCGCCATCCCTTTTTCCGTAAGATATAGTGAACACCGTGACGTGAGGCGATGAACAGACTGGCCGGTGGTGGTGCTCAGCCTGACACCAGCTGCCTGGCCGGTGGTGGTGCTCAGCCTGACACCAGCTGCCTGGCCGGTGGTGGTGCTCAGCCTGACACCAGCTGCCTGGCCGGTGGTGGTGCCCGGCCGGACGCCAGCTGCCTGGCCGGTGGTGGTGCCCGGCCGGACGCCAGCTGCCTGACTGGTGGTGGTGCCCGGCCTGACGCCAGCTGCCTGGCCGGTGGTGGTGCTCAGCCTGACACCAGGTGCCTGGCCGGTGGTGGTGCTCAGCCAGCCGCCAGCTGCCTGGCCAGTGGTGGTGTCCAGTCTGCTGTAACGCCGCCCGCTCGGCCGCAGCCCGTCACGCGGGACGACTTTTGTCCGGACAGCCTGGCGCCGGACAAGATCCGCGTCGACCTCGAGGTCGGCCCGTCCGAGCTCCTTCTCTACGGAACGCTCGTCGACAACATCATCAACTTCAAGGTGGGTGCGTGGCGGGACGCGGTGAGGCCCTTGTGGGGTGCCTTGTGTCGCTGTGTTGGGCTGTCAGGCTACAGTGTGTTATTGCTGTCAGTGTACCAGTGATCCATAGACGTTATTTGTTGAACAGGAAACAATGCATCAAAGACACATTAACTTCCCGCCCTCAGGCGAACTAGGACATCGCGAGGCAGCGTCGCCCATGCTCACCTTCGTCCTGAGGTCATTTTTATTGTTCCTATGCCTACGGCTCCATCTCTCATCTTTGACCTCTCGGCGGTACAGGACAACATATTCGGCGTGTACGAGGCGTTCACGGACATGGCGAGCGTGCGGGGAGGCCTGCCACCGGCCAGCGACTCGGCCGCGTCCGACCACACCAGCGGCCGGCTCGAGCCGTTCGACCCGCGCAAGTTCCGGCCCTTCCAGGTCACGGTGGCCGTCACCATGCACGACATCCGGGGCCACTTGATCAAGGTCGGTCTCCGCGCCGACCCGAGCGCGGCTCGGTGACGGCGGCGGGGGATGCCACGCGTGGGTTACGCGCACAGATTGGAGCCAATGGTTACAGTGAACGAACAGTTGTGTGCTTGGTTAGATGGCGATAAGCTGTTGGCCCAAAAGTGTAGTGCACTCATAGGCATTCAACGTACTACTACGTCAGCTTCGCGCGATTTTGAGCATTTCGGGGTGCAGCAGCCTGCTTTTAGAGCAGTGTCGGTGCGTGACATTACGTCCGACGACTGGGTGGCCTGTCAGGCGCTGATGTGACAGTGTCTGCAGCACAGCAATGGTCCGGCACGCCTCCGCGGCCCGCCGTGAGGGGCGCTGCGTGCTCTGATGGGCGCCGTTTTCAGAACTGCGCGCCGGGCGACCCGCCGTGTCCCACGCTGACGCTGGAGCGGCTCGGCTTCGAGATGACCAAGTCGTTCTGGGAGACGCGGCTGCAGCTGCTGCTGTCGCCGGTGGTGGCCGTGGTGCAGGACACGGTGGTGCGCGCCGAGCCGCACCAGCACCTGCGCGAGGGCCATCTGGTGCTCAGTGGTCTGCAGGTGAGCCGGGCCGGTCCTGCGCTCGGTCCGAACACAGGCGTGTTGTCATGGACGCCACAGCCGGCAAATGTGGGAGACCGAGAGGCAAACCACGTTCAGCTTGTGAGACGCCGCTGGACACCGCGGGTTGGTGAAGTGCGACCAAAACTCACGGAGCCACCTGCATGTCTGCCGTTCTCGCACGTGTAAGTGCGTCGGTCGTGTGTCGTCTAACAGTGGGCGGGTGACTCCTCGCGCGGTCGGCACGGTCGATAACGGCGCCCGGTCGTGCGCCCACCGACAGGTGCGTGGCCACGCCATGTTCAGCAACCACGGCAGGCGCGTGGAGCAAGACACGGTCGAGTACGGCTGGCTGCTGGAGGTGCAGGCCGGCACCGTCACCGGACGGCTGACGGCGGCGCAGGTGGGTCAGCGGGCGCCGCGGCCGGCTACTCAGAGAGAGCGTGCCACAGAGCAGAGATCGGCCGAGTCCCGCCGGGCGCGGCGATCAGAGGTCCTTCCGGGTGGTGATGGCGACAGTTTGCACGTGGCTGTTCTGTGGAAGGGGAAAGTGATCTTCGGTGACGTTTTATATGTGCTGTGTACACTCCATTTCAAAGGAATGCTCCACGTATGAAGATATCGAAGACCAGATTTTGCATCAGAAATGATAAAAAAGCTTACTTGTAACTATGGGTATGCTTTTAAGCGGAGAATGCCGCTCTTGACAACACAATTTCTCCATCTAGTAAACATCCTCAATACGTCATTGTTTGATTGTGCCGTGGAACGTTTCTATGACGTCACGGCGCTTCTAAAATAGCCGTGCGAGATCACCACCCTAGCATCTACTCGCAGTACTCCAACCTCCCAGAGGAACATCGTTATGTGCTCGTGTTTTGGCCCTTCTCGTGGTGTTCTTTCATATTTATCTGTCATTTTAAGGTGTTTGCTTGTATGCACATACTCGGTCATCACGGCATTGGTAAGGTATTCGAGTACAAGTCTTATTTCCTTGATAACTAGCAACCAAGTCACACTTTTTTATCATGATGGCACCAAATCTTATCCGTGATTGAACACACCCAACCCTCTTGCCCTCTTTATCGCTTCATCCTGTATCTTCGCGATACTCCGCACACCGGGGGCAGGCTGCATTCGTCAGCCACGAGTGGGCTGAGAGGCCTCTGGGAGGGGTGCCCTCGAGCGGGCGTCCGGTACATAGTCCGCAGAGGGGTCCCTACGCGGGCTAAGGCTCGACATTCGGCCCTCCAGGCGCATGCAGTCCTGCCCCACCGTTATCCATTCTCCTTCATCCCATGGCCCCGAAATGATCACTGCTGGTCGAAAGGGCGCAGATAAAGAATAATTACCAAATCACCTGGATTGTAATTGAAACTTGCACAGCCTGCTCAGCATTGATTGAGAGTCAAATTACGTCAATTAAACTTTAAACTGCGCTCACGAACGCCAGATACGAACGGCACGGCGATTATTTTCTTGTTGGCCGTAAAACGCCGCATGGCCAATCAGTTGAAGTTTTTGAATGACGCTTCTATGGCGTCGTTCATGCCTGAGTGACCTTGAAATACTCTGCACGAAATAGACTGCACATCTTCGCGGGTGATTAGCTCAGAAGATGGAGGGTTTTAGGGTCAAGAAGGACAGGGCTGTAAATTACACTGAATGACCTTCAAAATGGTCATTTCATTTTCAAGTCGCATGCAAAACTGGGACACCCCCTTTGACGGTGCGTCGTGACAACACGCATCTGCGTGTTGTTTTGCATGCTGGCTACAGGCGGATCAGTAATCACACCATTGTCACATCATCGGCCGTCGCTGTGCGCAGTCCGCGTCACTGCCGCGCGTGCCGTTTTCAGGTGTACCAGACGGTGACTGGCCTGGAGACGTTCCTGCAGCTGCTGACCGAGCCGGAGGCCGAGCTGCCGCCGCCGCCGGCCACGCAGCTCTGCCACCACAACCTGGACCAGCAGCTGTGCGAGCATACCTCGCCGGAGACCAGGTGCGGCGGCGGGCTCCCAGCTGGTAATACGTGTTGGGGGGGGGGGGGGGGGGGGCTGGGCTCAGGCGTACGAGGCCGCGCCTCGGAGCCGGGCTCCGGGTAGTCGGGGACAAGCTCTGTTCGGCTGCCAATGATAGCTCTGTGCACTTGGGAGAAGAGCAAGGCTAAATTCCATGGCGTGTTGTGACTGTGTCTGTAGAACTCTGGAGGCATCGTAAATTGTCGGCCTCCCGCGCGGTGACCTGCAGGGGAGCCGGTCACATGGTAGTACATGCCTGTGACTTGTTTTGCATAAGGTGCAAACTATTTCCTGACATGCCCCGTTGTGCTGGCAGCGTCGTTAATAGCGCGTGCTTACAGGTGTCCATCGAGTGATGAGATCAAGTACAAAATGTTCCGTCTCAGTCTGGATGCTTTGGACCTGCATATGGTCGAATGCGGGACATCGTTAAATCTGCAGGTATGACATGTGAACCGACGCACGACAAGGGGCAATCACTATTACTGCAAGTGGCAGCGCCGTGGATTCTGAGTTGGAGAAGAAGGAGGAGGGGGTGCAGCATTTTGCAGGGGGTCTCCAAAACATGGTAGAGCTTCCTCACATAGGGTTCTCCCGGGGGAAACTTATTGAAGGGTCTCCCGGGTTTCGACGATAAGAGGGTAAGGGGTCCGCATAGCAACCAATGCCCGCTCCCCAGAACTATATCTACCGTACCTCTACAACTTGGAGAAAGCGAAGCTTGCAATCCCGAAGGCCTTTGGGTCTGCGGAGGCAATGGAAGCTGCGTTTTAACATTTCTATGTGCTATGCTATAATTTGTTTTGCATTAGACATGCGGTAGGGACCTTAACGCCTCGGCCATCTGGTTCACACCAGGCTCATTTCATGAAGAGAGACGAGCCTATTGATTGGCAGTCTCATAGCCGTCTACCTTGCATTAATAGGCGTCTACAAAACTTGTGATTTTTTCCGACAGATAAAATAAATTTAAGATTTATTAAGCAATAGTTTGCCATGAAAACTTGGCTACTTGTCTGTCGGGCAGGCGTCATTCAACAAGGTGTTGAGTGTCAAACGTATATTTCGATATGCTTGTAATGGGGGTAACTACGGTCCATTTTCATGTGAAAAACTTATATTCTTACCGCGTATATCTGGACATTTCAGACTGTGTTGGTTGTATGCTACGGGTTTCATACCGCCGCCATCAGAATAGTTTCCTAACGTCGTGTGGCGCGGTGGTCACCGCTGACAAACACTTGGAGGGGGGGGGGGGGGGGGAGGCAGTGTCTGGTCTATTCGATGCTAAGCAAACATTGAACCCAGAGATCATCAGGAGTTTTGCCTTCCACGAACTGTTCAAATGTAATTGCGTCATCTACTTGTGCAATGGGTCGCTGATGTATGCCTGGAGGACTACGATGAATAATTTTCGGTTGCGTCAAAACGTGTGCCCGTGGTTGTGCCAGTTCTAGCGTTTTGAGTGGCAGGGCCTGTGAGAGCCTTGTACCACCGTTCCGCAGATATCCCCCTGCCGTGTGTCCACCTGCAACCTGTACGGCGAGCACATCCGGCGGGGCGTGACGGTGCTGGTTCCTATGATCGAGCTCTACAACTTCATCTCGGCCAACATGGCGTTTGTTGGCGCTAGTGACGCGCCGCCGATGTGGGTGGAGGCGGGTGCGGTGCGCTTGGGCCCAGTTATCGTCGACCTGGCGTTGAGCGAGGACGACAGACGGAACGAGCTGCAGGCAGCCCAGCACCGGTGAGTCGAGGACGACGGACAGAATGGGCTGCAGGCGGCCCAGCACCGGTAAGTCGAGGACGGCAGGCGGGGTGGTCTGCAGGCGGTCCAGCACCGGTGAGTCGGGGTGGGGTGACACCAGTCAGCGGTATTAGCTGTAGATGGGCGGTGCCACGTAGCTGGCGAGGGAGTTTTGTGCTCACAGCTGCGGCCTATACTCATACCAGCGGCTGGTGAGTTGAAGAGATGTGTTGTGTCGAGATGCGTGGTGTCGAGATGTGTGATCTACATAACTGAAGTATGTAAGCATTTAGGGAATGTCGTGCACAGACTCAACCAAAGCATGTTGCTTCTGAATGCGTCCTCATCATTTACGTGATTTGGCACCATGCCAAACGTTACGTGTGACACCTACCTTGTACTTTTGTGGAGGTAGTGGGCCAGAGGTATCCAATCACCCACCGGCCCGCCCTCCGTGGCCAGGTTCCTGCGCTTCCACGACGAGCACAAGCGTCGTCTGTGGTTCCTCTGGGAGGAGGACGAAGAAGAGGAGGAGGAGGAGCAGAACGCCGGCGCCGGTGCCCGCTGTGGCTGCGTCGGCGGTTGCGCCTTCTTCGGCCGCAACGGCAATGGTGCACGCTTCTTCCACCCGAGCAAGGAGGACGAGGCAGACGGTCGCAACAGGGCTGAGTACAGGTCAGCTGGCAGCTAGTTTGACCCCGGTAACGGAGTGCGCTGTGTCGGATACAGGGCGAGTACAAGCTGGCAGCCGGTCTGACTCCGGTGACGGAGTGGGATGTGCCGGATAGGCTGTGCTCATTTCTACGCCGTCCGTGCGGTGCGCTTTTTGGCGGGCCTTATGGGCTTACGAATATATCTTCATCGCACGCGATCTGCACAACGCTTTCGGTGTTTGCTTCACTTGACGCCACAGGCTTGACTGGTCAGGTGTGTCTGTTCCGGGCTGTGTCCTACTGCTCTCTTGTGAGATCGGTCATGCGCCAGCGCCCGTGGTCCGTGCCATGTTTTGACTGCTGCTCTGACCTCTGCCGACCACCAGGGTGAGCGACTCGGCCGATGACCTGGGGTACGGCCAGTCGCTGCTGCACGAAGGCCGTCTGATGTTCGACCTGGCGCCGGCCAGCCCGCCGGTGGTGCCGTGCCCGTGGGCGCGGGAGCCGCCGGCGCCGGCCGCGTCCGACCGGCTGACGCCGCCTCAGCACGAGTTCGCCGCCCACAGCCCGCCCGGCGGCCGAGACGAGGTGGGTGGCACGAGCCTGAGCCGTCCCCTCGTGGCCAGGGATTAGCTGGATTTCCCCCCTCCCTCCGACCGGCACGGCAAGTGGCCCGGTTTTTGAGTAGCTGGCTGCGCAAAGGATTTCAGTCACCCGCTTCCGGTTTTGCCCGCGAGCGTGAGGCTTTTCGCATGCTCGCGCGGGGCATGTGTCTGCACTAACGGGTGGCGGCGTGGCGCGGCGCGTGGCCGCCCTGTCTGACGGGTTCCGCCGCGCGCCGCCAGGTGGACACGGCCACGCGCCACCTGTCCGACTCGGGCCTGGCGCGCTCGGCGGCGGCGGCGGCGGCGGCCGGCCGCGGCGCCCAGTCGACGCTCTCGCTGCAGACGCTGCCGTCGGCGGCGGCGGCGGCGGCGGCCGGCCGGCGCGGCTCGCGCCACTCGCTGGCGTCGGTGGGAGCGCCGCCGGCCGCCCGCCTGCGCACCATGGCGTCGCTGGGCAGCGAGCAGTCCGAGTTTTCGGAGCTGTACTTCTCGGCGGACGACGACGGGCTCTCGTCGCTGCCCACCTTTCAGACGCCGCCGTCGACCCTGCAGCGCGACGGCAGCTCGGAGCCGGACCGGCCGGCGACGCGGCCGGACGCCGCCCGACAGGTGGCTGACGCGGCCGGGCCGGCGGCGGCGGCGCGCCGTGCGGCCGCCCGCGCCGCGCCCGAGCTCGGAGGGCTGCCCCGGTCGTCAGGGGTGGGCTTCTGCATGGTGGCGAGTGGCGATGACGGGCTTTTCTACATTTCGTTTTGGGGTGGGCAGGCACGGATTATTTTGTTTGGCATGCGATGCAATGGCGTTCACACGGTGTAAGTACGGGTTTGTATCGCATTAAACGTGCGATTGTCATACGGACGGGCGTGCTATATTTGAGGCTGCGATTTATGAGCGGTGCTGGGACGTAGTTCTTCATATCCGTAACACCGGCTGTCAGAAGAGCTTGAAACATCGAAGGCGCTGTCCGAGTGTATCAGATGTAAGCTGCCGGTCCTCATGCTGCGTCGATCATGCTCGTGCTCCAGGTGTCGTTCGACGCGCTGCACTCGTCCTCAGTCGGGCTCGAACATCAGCTCGGGCTCGTTCCTGTCGGCGGCGTCGGCGGCCTCGGGCGAGGAGGCGCTGCTGCCGGACCTGAGCACGGTGGACCTGGTGGCGCAGGTGGACCGGCCCATCACCGACAGCCCGCTGCTCATGGCCAGCTACATCTACCACCTGGACCAGGTGATTAGGGCTGCTGGGATAGGGACGGCGGGAGAAACAACAAGGCGGTCGCACCACATCTGGCGCAAGGGTCTTGCGAAGTATGAATCGACGTTGTAGAAGCCGGGTATTATTGTAATACAAATATATCGTGAAAGTTTGGGCTTTACATACTGATGTGAAGATCTCTTCACTGCGTACCGATGCGTCTGATGACGGTGGAAAGTTTTGCGCCGACGTTAACGACTCCCAGACACACCGATGCACGGCTCATCGTTGATCAGACCCCTGTGTAGTCCGGGCAGAGGGCGAGCGCGCGGCGGCACCGCTGGCGCCGGCGGTGACCCGTCTCGCCGCTCCCGCTGCCGCAGGTGGAGTGCCACTGCTGGTCCAGGCCGACGCCGCGCGCCTCGGCCACCGGCGGCATCGCACTGCGGCCGGTGGTGCGCAGTCCGGACGGTGACACGCTGCTGGCCGGCCGGCTGTACGCGCCCGCCTTCCGGCGCGTGACGCGCGGCTTCTCGCATATACGGCTGGTGGAGGCGCAGCCGGCGGCGGCGGCATCGGCGTCGGCGTCGGCGGCGTCGGCGGGCAACGGGCAGCAGTCCCGCGAGCCTCAGCTCTGGGATTGCTGGGAGAACGGTGAGGGCGTGGGGACGCGGGCGGTGGGCGACGAGGTTCGGAGACAGATGGGGTGGCCAGTGATCGGAGACAGTTGGGGGTGGCCAGTACTTGGAGGCAGGTGGGGGGTGGCCAGTACTTGGAGACAGGTGTGGGTGGCCAGTACTTGCAGGCAGTTGGGGGGTGGCCAGTACTTGGAGACAGGTGGGCGTGGCCAGCACTTGGGGCAGGTAGGGGTGATGACGGCTCTGCTCTGAGAGGAGGGGGGGCGGCGGCGGCGAAAGCCCTGAAACAGGTGAGAAAACGATGAGGTTGAGGGCTGCGTGAGGAGATGGCGGCTGATCGAAGCTTGATGTGTGAACGGCAGTGGTTTAGGGAATGGTAAGGTGTATCGGGGACTCGGAGACCAGAGCCGATCTCTGATGCTGCGGGGAGAACGATGGGAGCTCTCGGCGACAGCTGGGCTTGAAAGGCCGTTACGCGAACGGCGAAGGCCTCGGAGAGACCGCTTCAATCCAGGAGTGGAATAGGCGCAGCGTATATGTACTAACCTGTACGCTGTCGTCGGGCAGACGGCCCATCACGTGTCATGAGCTTGGACAACCGCTCCGCCGCAGAGCGGGGGGAGCCGGCCGGCCTGGTGGGCAGCCACAGCCACCGAGGTGCGGCACACACCACGCTCGTGGTCCGCCTGAACGAAGACACCAACCTGGCCGTCTCGCCCATCATGCTGGAGTCCCTGTCCAGGCGAGTGGACGTCCAGAGAAGTCCTCGGATATGTCGCGCCGGTGTGCGGTGCGCGCGGGGTGTTCATGTGCAGGCCAGGCTCGCTAGCGCCACAGTAACGTCCCGCCATCTCCGCTGTGTTTATCCTCGCTCATGCTGTCACTTGCTCTGTCCGCTACGGAGGCTGGTGCTTGTTACACAGCGCGCAGGAGCCCGCGCACCACCGCGAGATACGGGCAGACTGGCCGGTGGTCTGTGACGTCAGAAGGGCCGCGGTCCGCGAGAGCACGCCATCACCGCCGCTGACAGGCGTCGTCAGGCGACGGGCTGGACCGGTGACCGGGGCGTGCGCCGTCGCCGGCAGGTTGGTGCAGACTCTGGTGCCGGCGCTGGCACGCATGCACCCGCAAACGGTGGTGGGGCGTCACCGGCGCTCGGCCGTCGCCTCCGTGCTGGCCGCCAACCAGCTGAAGCGAGACCCGCACGTGCGGCTGAGCCTGCGCCGCGAGTCGTCGCTGCGCCGCCAGCCGGTCATCCTGGAGCAGGCGCAGCACAGCCAGCTGCAGGCCTATGTCTTCGTGCCGAAGGTACGAGCGGGACGGGATGCCGCGGTGGCGAGGAGGGGAGGATGGCCTGCCGCGGTGGTGGGGAGGGGAGGACTGCCTGCCGCGATGGCGAGGAGGGGAGGACTGCCTGCCGCGGTGGCGAGGAGGGAAGGACGGGATGCCGCGGTGGCGAGGAATGGAGGACGGGATGCCGCAGTGGTGGGGAGTGGAGGACGGGATGCCGCGGTGGTGGGGAGGGGAGTACGGTATGCAAGTGTGTGAGCATGACAAGAGACGTTGGATGCCGTGAAATGTCGGGGAATTCTGTGAGCCGCTGACAGAGGCCAGTCCCCCAGCCAGTCTGTCAGCAAGACGCAGACGGCCGGGCCGTGGACGTGATCATAGAGAAACGAGCGGAGTTTCCGCTCACGCTGAGACACACATATGCCAGCCCAGTGTTTCCTGTGCATGTGAACGCAAGACGTAAGACGCCTCTCCTTCCTCCTGATGAGCACCACTCCCCTTCCCCCGCCAAAGACAAACATCAGCTTCTCTGCGCCGCGCATTCGAAGGCCACAGCCGGCGCCGCCTGAGGGCCTCACCCGTCTCTCCGTGCCGCAGGTCAACATCACCCTCCTGCAGGCGTCCATCACAGAGGAGCGGATCTCGTTCTCGGCACTGGACGACGTGCGGGACCTGACGTGCGTCAGCCTGGCGGCGCTGAGCGTGCAGCGGCTCTCGCTGCGCCTGCTGCACCACCGGCGCACGCACCGCTCGCTGCACGTGCTGGCGCGCCACCAGCAGACCAGCGCCGCCCAGAAGCCGGCCAAGAAGAAGGCCAAGGACGTACAGGTGCGGCACCGGGCTGGTTGGGGACGGATGATGCGCGCCGGTGGGATCAGCGGCACTGCGACGATCAGAAGGACTTCAGTTTCTTGTTAACCTGGGAACTGACGGTATTAGGGCGGCGCGGGCGGTCTAAGGACGTGGAGTCGCCAGGGTTACTGGACTAACGAAACCGTGTTTTTCCTCCTGCCTTGCAACGAACGCATAGCCGATGCTTGTTTTTGGTGCCCTCAAATGAGCAAAATAAATTGCTTGTGGATAATCTGGGTCCTGACCATTTAGGAAAATTACGCTATTGAACAGTTATTTCGTGGGACTGCGTGCACAGGTATTTGCGTGCAGCTCGTTGTGTGGTGTTGGGTCTGGCGGGACCAGCAGCCGGTCCGATGTGCCGCAGGTGACGTACGAGCCGTCGCTGGTGGAGACGGTGGACGCCGACTCCCAGGAGACGGTCATATCGGTGGAGGTGGGCCGCTCGCACTGTCAGCTGCGCCGGCTCAAGAACGACAGTCAGCTGCTCAGCAGCGCCGTGATCACGTCCATCCCAGGCCGACAAGGGCAAGGTGAGGCAGCCGCGCGGCGCGGCGCGGCGTGTCAGCGTGTCCAGCCACTGTTGAGAGCGGCTACTGGGCGTAGCCAGTCAGCGCGGCCAGTGCGGCAGCTGTTCGGCGCCTGGACTGAACGAGGTCCTCGTGCTCGCGCGCTGAGTCTGCGGACGGCGAGAGGATGGGGTGTGCGACACATTGGTAGTGTCCTGCTCAGGTCCGTTAAGCAAAGCCGATTTTTCAGGTCACAGCTTAACGTAGCTGTCGAGCGACGAGTTGTTTGTGTGCCGACTGTCCTGACTCGCGGCCCCGTCCGCATGTTGCCGCAGGTGTTCTTCACGTACGCCGACGTGCCGGCCTCGGCGGACAGCGAGTTTGGCCAGCCGAGCCTCGACACGGTCCAGGACGACACGGCCAGCTTCGGAGAGCAGAAGCTAGGCTTCAACATGCTGGAGGTGAGGGGCTCGTCGCGCCGCGCCCGCGACCGGAGAGAACGCTGGGACCGCCGCCGCAGCCACTGCGCGCCGGTTGCCGCCGGAAGACATGCGTGGGTCGAGAAACTGCGGTCTCTGTGACACGAACTAACGCGGTGTAAGGAACCATGTGTCCTCATATTTGGTTAACCATGGATGGACCGATTCAGACGTCCGTAGGTGCCTCCCACGGATTTTCTGTCGAGCGAATCACGCGGGATGTCGGTTCGCCGCGCGCCAGCCGTCTGCCTTTCCGGCGCGCCTCTTCACGGCCGCCATCGGCTAACTCCACCTCCCGGACCGTCGTCAGGTGGGCGTGGAGCAGCTGGAGCTGCGCACGGTGCTGAAGAAGGGCGGCGCGGCGGGCGCGGCCCGGCCCGGCGGCGACGAGGAGCCCGCGCGCTCGCCGCAGCCGCCGTCGGCCGCGCGCACCGACGAGTCGGCCGGCAGCGAGGGCAAGGACCGCACGGCCGCGCTCAACGTGGACGTGCGGGCCGTGTGGTGCAACTGCGCTGCGCCGCCCAAGACGGCCGTGATGCGCAAGACGGACTACACCAGGTGCGGGTCGGGCGGCCCGCACAGCTGGCTCCACACTCACGGTGTTCGCATGCTGCTTCATGGAGCTCATGTCTTAAGCTTCTCTTTATCAATGTGGTGATGGATACGATTTTGACTCAGCGATGCGTATTTGTGGTTCTCAGTTGGCCTCCTACGCTTGAATGTCGTGGCCTGTCGGCGATATGACCGCACATTTCGTTCGCCGTCTGTCGTCGCGCCGCCGCTGTGCGGGCGCGAGACGTCGGAGCGTGACACGGTCACCGTCCCCCCCCCCCCCACGTCACGTGGCGGTCGTGTTTGGCGACAGGTCGGACTGGAACATGCTGAGCACCTCCTCGCCGTCCATCAACGCGTGGCTGAACCCGGCCAACCGGCTGGCGGCGGCCGGCCAGCAGATGGCGTCGGCGCACACCCGCCGCCAGCTGGCCGTCATGGCCTGCCTGATGACGGACGCGCTCGACCACCCCAACATACACGCCACGGCCAAGGTACGGACCACAGGCGCGGCCAACTGGGCACGTCCAGGGTAGAGGCGCAGACACGGCGTCCTGGCCACGGCCAGGGTAGGGGCGCAGACACGGCCAGGGTAGGTGTTATGTCTTCGTCCAGCGGTTCAGCTCAGCTCGGTCAGAGAGAGACGTGTAGCGACGCAGCGATCTGTATTGGACCGAGTCCAGTGGCGTCCTGCCTGCCCCTGCTATCCCAGACAGGCACGACATTACATGTAGTTCGGGTGAACTACCACTCATAAGTCAGCTTGCATACACGCACCTATCGCGCGTCCCGTACGGTCCGCCAAGGGACGGCGGGCAGCGCCCGCGGTGGTAGGTCGCATTCCACCGCGCGGCTCAGGTCGCGCCGCGACCCGGCAGGGACGGCATGCTGTGCCGCCGGGCCGGCTGGGTGTGCTCACAGCAGTAGGGACGCAGACACGGCGTACTGGCCACGGCCAGGGTAGGGGCGCAGACACGGCGTACTGGCCACGGCCAGGGTAGGGACGCGGACACGGCGTACTGGCCACGGCCAGAGTAGGGTCGCAAACACGGCCAGGGTACGGCCAGGGTAGTGACGCAGACACGGCGTACTGACCACGGCCAGGGTAGGGGCGCAACACGGCGTACTGACCACGGCCAGGGTAGGGCGCAGACACGGCGTGCTGGTCACTGCCAGGGTAGGGCGCAGACACGGCGTACTGGTCACGACGAAGGTACGGGCCGCAGACCACCGATGTTGCCATCCCGCCTGCATGCCCCGTTACATGTGCAATGCTTGAGCGTGATGTCCGAGTCTTTTATTTTCCAGACCGACTGTCGTACGGATATATCGATATGACGTGCAGACTTGTAATGTGGGCGTGACATCTTTCAGAGGAGCACCTGTTCGCAATGTGGTTATGACCTTTGACAGACAAGCGCTCTTGCGTGATAGTGGTCTGACGTGTTAAAAATGAAGTTCTCGTAGAGCAACAGAGATGTGACCGGCCGCGGGACTAGAGCCCGTTCGTGGCGCGGACCTGGCAGGCATTCGGAGCACCCGGGCAGAGCAAGTGCCTTTACCTGATACGTATACGCCCTGTTGCAGAGCCCTGCCACGTGTGTGTCCTGTTGTAGACCGGATACACGTGTACCTGTTGCAAAGGCTTGATGCGTGTTTGCCATGTTGCAGAGACGTGACAGTATGTGTCCTGTTGCAGAGCAAGTACTCGTGCGTGACGTCGGTGGCGCAGACGCTGCAGGAGGACCCGAGCTGCCAGCTGTGCAGCGTGCTGGCGCGCTACATCCAGCAGACGCCGCTGACCGATCTGGAGACGGAGCTGCGGGTCCGCTTCCTGCCTGAGACGACCACGCTCAAGCAGGTGCTGCACCACTCTCGTGCGGGCGCGCGGTACGCCACGATCATGCACAGGTCCCTCGGGACACCGCCAGTACCGCCACCGCCAGGCAGATGCTGGTTGGGTGGCACCATGGGGATCATCATGTGCAATCAGGTATTGCTGACACGTCACTACGCTGAAATTGGATGTCACTTGAAGCGACTGACCACCACCTCCTGTCCTTGCCGCTAGCCTGTCCACCTTCACCACCACCACCTCACCATTTACCACCTTCTGCCATTGCCATTAGCCACCTCCGGCCCGACCCGTGCTCTTTCCGTCCGCCACTTCACGTACCCCAGCTCTCTCTGCCCGCCACTGCACGTCCCCAGCTCTCTCTGCCCGCCACTGCACGTCCCCAGCTCTCCCTACCCGCCACTGCACGTCCCCAGCTCTCTCTCTGCCCGCCACTTGCACGTCCCCAGCTCTCTCTCTCTCTGCCGCCACTGCACGTCCCTCTCTCTCTCTCTGCCCGCCACTGCACGTCCCCAGCTTTCTCTGCCCGCCACTGCACGTCCCCAGCTCTCTCTGCCCGCCACTGCACGTCCCCAGCTCTCTCTGCCCGCCACTGCACGTCCCCAGCTCTCTCTGCCCGCCACTGCACGTACCCCCAGCTCTCTCCTGCCCGCCACTGCACGTACCCCAGCTCTCTCTGCCCGCCACTGCACGTCCCCAGCTCTCTCTGCCCGCCACTGCACGTACCCCAGCTCTCTCTGCCGCCCGCCACTGCACGTCCCCAGCTCTCTCCCCGCCACTTCACGTACCCCAGCTCTCTCTGCCCGCCACTTCACACGCTTCTGTTTTCTGTGCCTGCCACTGCACGCGCCCCGTTCTCTTTCTGCCCGCCACTGCACACGTTCCCTGTCTCCGCCCGCCACTGAATGCACCCCCGCTGTTCCCGCAGGGCGTGCTGGTGCTGAGCCGACAGTGGAAGAACGTGTTGTGGATGCCGTTCCTGCTGGGTCACAAGTTCAAGGACCCGCCGGCCGTGCCGACGTTCATGCACCAGCCAGCCTCCAGGGTCAGTGGCGTCCGCTGACCCACACGCTGTGGTGCAAAGCTCGCTGTGATGTTCACGTTGGATTAGGCAGAGGCGGCGGTGCGCTCGTTCTCGGATGACCAGGTCACATTCTGGATATATGTTTGTTTTCTTGTTCATTGGCAAAGTATCGGCTGGGTCTTGGAAACTTAGCTTATCATGCCGGATACTTCAATCTCCGATTCACTGGTTACGCCTAGTGCTGTTGTGTTTATAGAATATTCTAGTCCAGTGCGACTGCAGTCAGCGCACGCCCTCACGCGCATCATACTCTCCCCAGCGAACTTCTGCTGAGGCGGAGGTGCCAATGACAGACGACAACGACATTGACGAGCGCACCTGTCTGTTGGACTTACCCCTGCTGTCCGGCAAAGGTGAGCTACGCGACGGCGCGGAGCTGCCGAAGCCAATACTGAAACTGGTGGCGCAGCATGCGTTGGATCCGACTCCTTTCATTTGTGCACACGTTGTCAGTCTGACGTATCTCGCAGAACCTTGCACGATGCGCGTCTCTGAACGGTGAAGTGCCTGAGTTTCTTCACTTGGCCGAGGTGCGCTCAAAGCGGAACGTCTTTTCCGTGTGTAATCCCTGTCTGCAACACCCGACTTACACAGGGCCATCTGTGCTATAATTTTTTCCCATTGGCTGGGACCTGCCGCTGTGGCCCACACCAAGCCGCGGCTGTGTGTGGCCCGGCCGACTGACGCTGGCCGACGCTGCCGCAGCGCCGCGCTCCTCGTCGCCGGTCTCGGAGCCGGTGAGCCCGCTGTCGCCGGTGGCCGAGCCGCGCCCGGCGCTGCCGCACCAGCCGCTGCGCTCGGGCCGCCACTCGGTCATGTTCCCGCTGCTGACGGCGCACCTCGAGTCGCCCGTGCAGACGCTGGGCCGCCTGAACCGCGGCTTCGCACGCCAGCCGGCGCACGAGAGCAACCAGAGCCTGTGCAGTCAACGCGCCGGCACGCCGTCACACTCGAGCCTCGAGCCGCTCCAGGCCAGCCAGCACGGGTCGCTGCAGCGCAAGGTACGCGCCGCGCCGACGCGCCGTCGCCCAGGTGCGCGGATGGAGTGGCGGACGCGGGCGTGTGTCGGACTTGGGTGTGGTTTCGCACATAGATGTGGTGACGGAGCTGGGTTTGGGTCGGACGTGGGTGTGGTGTTACGCGTGGGTGAGGTGTCGGACGTGGGTGCGGTGTCGCTAATAGGTGTGGTGACGGAGGTGGTTGTGGGTCGGACGTGGGTGTGGTGTTCGCGTGGGTGAGGTGTCGGACGTGGGTGCGGTGTTACGCGTGGGTGTGGGTCGGACGTGGGTGCGGTGTTACGTGTGGGTGTGGTGTCGGACGTGGGTGCGGTGTCGCTAATAGGTGTGGTGACGGAGGTGGTTGTGGGTCGGACGTGGGTGTGGTGTTACGCGTGGGTGAGGTGTCGGACGTGGGTGTGGTGTTACGCGTGGGTGTGGGTCGGACGTGGGTGCGGTGTTACATGTGGGCGAGGTGTCGGACGTGGGTGCGGTGTCGCACATAGGTGTGGTGACGGAGGTGGTTGTGGGTCGGACGCGGATGCGGCGTCACGCGTGGGTGGGGTGTCGGACGTGGGTGTGGTGGATGAGGCCCATGAGAGGGAGAGCGGAGATAGGTTGTTTCCCACTGTTGATCCGTGTGTTGGATGTTTCGCGGCTTCTCATTGTCTGCGTTTGTTAAGCTGTTAATTGGAATGATCTCCGAAATGACGTTGGATGGCTGCTATTTGTGTTTATTTGGCTCTAGCCTTGGCCACAGCAATTTACAATATCACTTTTTTATCAATTCCATAACCGTTCTATTGGGATTGGAAATGAATTTAAAAAATTTCATGTCGTGAATTTTAACACCTGCAGCGCAACTGTAGCGCGTCCGGATCTAGCACTGTCTGTGTTGAAGACTGTTTTGAACAGCAGCCCGTTGGCCAGGCGTGTTGCATTCCCCACACACCGGTAGCAATATGTCTGACCGCAAGCACAGCATCTCCACGATGTAGCGTGCCAAGCGCTTTGCGCCGTCGGGGACGCCGTCCGTGCCGGCCACGGTAGCCTGCCGCCGCGGCCGGTGGCGCCCGTGTCCAGCCGCTGACCGGGCCGCCGTCGCTCGCAGCCCACCGTCGACAGCTGCGAGGACCTGTACAGCTGGATGGCGCGGCAGCAGGCCAGCAACGGCGCCGACCGCTGCCGGATGCCGCTCTCACAGATCAGGGTGCGTGCCCCGGGCGACCCCGGCCCCGGCCCCGGCCCCGGCCCCGGCCCCGGCCCCGGCCCCGGCCCCGGCCCCGGCCCCGGCCCCGGCCCCGGCCCCGGCCCCGGCCCCGGCCCCGGCCCCCGGTCCCGGCCCCGGCCCCGGTCCCGGCCCCGGCCCCGGCCCCGGCCCCGGCCCCGGCCCCGGCCCCGGCCCCGGTCCCGGTCCCGGTCCCGGCCCCGGCCCCGGCCCCCGGGGCTGGCCCTGCGCGCTCGAATCGCCGGTCCTCGCCACATGTCACACTCCTTACGCACTCCTCCACTCCGCGCGGTCCACTCCGTTATGGGCCGGGGACGCCGGCCTGTCTGGAGCACTGGACTCAGCACTGCCACCGTGGCCTGTGTGTGGTC